GCCAAGGAGCTACAGAAGGCTTATCGAGCGCAGTTTGCCTTGAGTATTTACGAGCTTGGAGTAAGTCATCTGAACGGATGGGGTATCGAGCAGGACAAGTCCCTGGCCTTGCGTTGCTTCGAGATCGCGGGCCAATGGGGCGACGGCGATGCCCTAGCGGAGGCCGGCTTCTGCTACGCCGAAGGTATTGGATGCAAAAAGGACCTGAAGAAAGCGGCGAAATTCTACCGGCAGGCGGAAGCGAAGGGCATCAGTATGGTTGGGAACAGTTGGTAAGTTGCTCCACCGGCTCGGCTATGGTTGGGGTGGGTCTAACCCGGCTTTGATAGGATCTACAAGGACAAGTACATGGACGAGGAGTCCAGCTCGAACTCGCGTGGTCGGGGCCAGCCTGGCAGTACTCCCGAGAAGAAACAACGCAGCAAATCCCGAACCCGCAGTCTTTTCCATCGCAAAAAGTCGGTTGCAACTGAAGCATAGACGGTTGTGCAGTACCCTCGTGGTCGACCCGAGGGCCTGTTTGCATCCGCCATCTCGTGCAGCAAAAAGAAAGGCGAAAGGCTTGTTCTGCATTTGGTCTTGGCATGATTTTCCCTTGATATTCCTGTCCTTCCTCGACCATTCAGTGTCTCTGGTCAGTATCAACACGCACATTGTGCTGCCGATTGAGGAAGACTTTTCTATTCTACTTCGTTTCATTCGTTTGGACCCGTCCGTGGGTTGCCGCTCTTCCCTTTTCTTTGCTTTTCCCTTTTCCCCTCGCATTTCGCGCTATTTATTCGCACCTTTCCTTTTTCTCCTTGAGCAGGCCTTGCTAGCTGCTCCACCCTTTGGATCACCGGGTCAAGTGGCTTCTCGCTTGACGTTTCGTCCCAATTTGCGGGCAGCGATATTCGTTTCTTGGATACCCATCATTTTCGAATCACTGTGTGATATTTCTTTTCTTCTCTTTTGGAATACAACCCTGTTTCCCCCCACCCTTCGTTCAGTGGTTCTTCCCTTCATAACCATTTTCATTTCTCCACTTGTTTTTTTCTTACTTCCTTTTCCCGTGGACGCTCGTCCATGTTCGATCGTTGGGATTTTTCTTCCATTCCTTTCTTTCTTTGACTCCTGTAATACCATTTTTCCCATTTCTTCTTAGAGATAGCCGTGTGTTTGTGTCGACCGAGATCATACCTGATGATACTCACGAGGAATTGCTACATAATCGGATGTTCATCCATCATTGATGGATAGAGTTTTGGACATGCTTCTGGATACCTCAGCCTCTGAGAAGTTAGTAGTGATTGCTGTTCCAGCGTGATCAAATTGAGTCCTCCAGTGGCGACGAACCACCGGGGTGAGAGAAGCGACAAAGACAATTAATTACCCGCAATTTAGTGTCCAGCTAGGGAAGAATAGCTTTTTGCTCTTGGTGGGTGAGATTATTGGGGGGAAAGGGTAAGCAAGTCCTGACTAGCACAACGGACTATTCAGTAGTTGGATCACCGGGTGGGCTTGGCTGGAGACCAACTAACCAACTAAGCGGGGAAACAGGCAAATACCTTCCCCCCTCCTTCCGGCCTCAGCTTGAACTCGAGAAAAGAAATTAGAGCAAGACGGAGTATGCAATAACAATATAGCACGAATGCACCAGAACTCCGGGCTGACCGCGACCGGCTCGGTTGATTGGTAGGCGATATTAAACCCCGGGAGTTCATTAGCTCAAGCCCAAGTCGGGCCATTGGCCGGTGCTCGAGCGCAGTCTACGGAGAATTGGCCCAAAGTAGAGAAAGAGTGGCGATGGGATGCAGACCTGATGACCCAAACAGGAAGAGAGCCAGCCTTAGCTCGACTTTCTGGCATCGCGCCGGCATTTGGTCCCACCCCAAAGCTGCCCTGATCGTCCGGGGGAAATTGGGGGGTTGCATTAGCCCTTCACACTTCAGCATGCTCCGGCTGTCCTCCTGCGCCCTCCTGCTCCTCCTTCTCCTCTTCCTTCTCGTGCTCCTCCTCCAATCACTCGCAGCGGGATGATGCGATGGCTCACCTCTTGCCTCGGTTCGCGTACATCTTCAATCAGGATTTGCAGGTGCAAATCATCAATCATGAACAATGCCTGATCTAACCTACCCACTGTACGGCTGAGAAAAAAAGTATGTGTGTGTAGCTCCACGCGATCTCAAGCTGGCCATGGTCCTTGCGCGGGGCCGGACCTAATGGATCTTGTTCACATTATCTGGATCGTCCTCCCGCATACTGGGTCCTGGCATGGCGTCCCTCTGGTGGCTCGCCCCTCAACCTACGCCGTTACACTTCCTATCTACTAGGGCCAGTAGCGGCATGTTTCGTCCGCGCCGTCTCAAGCCTGGTTGTACACTAGTATGACCCGCGGTGTGCAGACCTGATCGACTATCGAGGTTGCTGAAATTGGACATGTGATGGTCTCAGCTTTTATTAGTGTTTTTTCTCTTTCTTCCCGGGGACATCTAGAAGATATATCTAGCTACCTAGCGTTCGAGCAGGGGGGTTTAGACCCGGTTGTTTCCTTTTTCCTTCGTCCTGGCTGATTGTGGGTTCTTCTCCTCTCCTCTCCTCCCTTGCCTCCCTTGATTCGGTCTCCTGGGTTCCGTGGTCATTCTTCAACCCTATCAATCGTCGGTCTTGCATATCACTTGCCCGTCACTTGACCTCGACCAGACTGGTGGGTATGTATCTTAGCTGCTGTCGCACCATGGTGGCCGAATATATAGCACTCCCCTTGGTATCCTCCAGTCCGTTGCTGACCTCATTGCAGCTTGTCTACTTCAATCAAGTCTCTTAAGTCCTCGGATCCGTCTCTGCGTAGAGACAATCCTTGTGCTAGTCATCCCACATTCCTCGGTCCGGTCCTCACGGAAGGAGAAGCCCCCGCCATTGTCACACCGACATCATCGGTACATTGTGTCTGAGGAGAGGTTCAGTACGACCTGGAATAGCGGCGCATTATAACCACGATGGCCGGTGACAGCAAGCCTGAAGTGTTCGAAAGTGCTAATGTGGCTGCGGCCACGGCCAAGCCCAGCTTTGGGGCTCGCGTGGCTAGGCACTTCAAGCGATGGTGGTGGGTGTACATCATCGCCTTGATTGTGATTGTTCTTGTAGTGGTGCTTCCTGTGTAAGTTTGCTCTCGCGGCAAGAGATGCCTTCCCCCAATCCATATCCATTTCCTGGTCTCCGGCTTACATGACATGTTTCGGAAAACAGAGTCTATGTCGCATACCCCAAGGAGGCTCAACACATCGTCAATGACTCCAACCTGACTGTCACATCAATGATCATCAGTGACCCCTCACCTTCATCCTTCGACCTCCACCAACTACAGGTTATTGGATCCAACAGCTCTTTCCACCCGACCTTCTACTCCTTCTCGGCAGCCATCAGCCTGCTGGGTTCCGCCGTCTTCACTCACGTTCAGGTTCCCCAGTTCAACGGCCACAATGGCGTTGTCATCGATGTCAACCAGCGTGCGAACCTGACCAACGCAACGGCATTCGCCGAGTTCTGCAAGGCCGCCATCATGAACGAGCAGTTCCCTCTCAACGTCTACGGCAAGCCCCAGCTAAAAGAGGGAAGTCTACCCAAGACCACTGTGACCTACAACAAGACCGCTATGGTGACAGGTGAGCTCACCTATTCCCCATATATTACAATTGACTCTCACAGCCCACTGACTCATACATTCCGGTCTAGGCCTCAACAAGCTCTCCGGCTTTGACCTCGTGGACATGTCAATTGGAACCAACAACACAGACGGCACCAACGCCAAAGGAACCGTCTACATCCCCAACCCCTCGGACATCAGCATCGCCGTGGTATGCAATTCTCCCATCTTCCATCCAATTCGCCATACCAGTATCCCAACTAACCCCACATCCTACAGGGCAACCTAACCCTCAACCTGGAGGTCAACAACACCGGCATCGGCCAGGCCTTCATCTACGACCTCACCATCAACCCAGGCAACAACACCGTCCCCATGACCGCCAATGTCAGCACCCTCACCGTCGCCAGCATGCTAGGCAACTACCCGGACTACATGATCCCCATCGACATTACCGGCAACTCAAGCATCTACGACAACCAGCCGCTCCTCTACATCGAAGAAGCGCTGGCGTCGCTCAAACTGCAGGTTCAATTGAACGTGACGCAGGCATTGGGCGGTTGATTTAGCCAGTCTGTCTTGCCTTCAAACTAAAAGTCTGTATTTTTGCTTTTACGGACTGATGGATCTGATATCCTCTCTTATTGGGGATATAAAATGAGACATGTGTGTTATGTGGAGGGTTGATGGTTTGTTCTCTGTTTATATATGGCCTATTTACTGCTTACGATGATATTTGTGATTCCCATATGCCTTTTATGGATGGATGGATGAAGGGATGAGAGCTGGACTTGTGTCATCGTTGGTTTGGTCGAGGTAGGTAGGTAATTGTCACTTAGTATAGTATAGTATATTTAGTATATGTAATAAACTATGATATAATCTTCTAGTTCCGTTACTGTCTTTTACGATATGATGATTAGCAGAAATGATGGATGAAATGTGATACAAAGGATGCGATGGGTAGGTAAACAAATAATAGTCGCGGATGCACAGACACTGCTTAGTTACTGCATATGGTGAAACCACCCCCCCTATGAAAAGGGAGGGGCTTATCAATGAATGCAACGATTGTCTCATCTTCCCCAGCTGGGATGCTTAAGCGAGATAATTTGTTTTGTTCCAAACACAAGCCATAAGAATGTTGTTCTTCTTTTTATTGTTCTCTTTTTCACTTGCTTTCTTTCTTCCAATCAAACAATCAGGATAACAATGGCTAAGCAAACAGAATCAGTCACGTGTGCCTCCTTTTGGATGCCCTCCCCTGGTATAACTTTTTGGCCTTTGTTTTTCTTCGTCTTTACACTCTCGTACTTTCCCTTGAACAAAAGAGCCTCCGACCTTAACTATACTGACAATGAGATAGAAAGGAAAACTACATATCATGCAATGTGTTATACCCCGTTTCAATCAGACTTCGCGGTCCCCGCGCGTCGCCTCCAATATGCCAATAGAATAGCCCACCCAGCTTCATTTTGGTGACGAATTTCGCCTTCTGCTGGACTGTTTGGGGCGTGTCGTATGTGACAAATCCGCCATCACCGCCTACGCAGTATGCTGCTCCCAGACTGCTGTCGTGATGCTCCTTGGCTCCCGGTCGCGGCAGCTGGCTATAGTCGAAGACGCCGTCTTCACCGCCACAGCCTACATACCGCTGACCAGCTCCACTGCTACCCAGGAACGAGCGGCCATACGCGGGGATCCCGAGAAGTAACTTCTTGGGATCGACGCCCTGGTTGAGTATGTAGGAGATGGAGTTTTGGCAAGAAATCGCTGCGGGATGCTTGCTGAAGAGCTGGGCTTGATGACCCGACTGGTTCTCCCAGGGGCCCGAGAAATCGTACGCCATGATATTGATCAGGTCGAGATAGAGTTGCGCCTTGGAAAGATCGATGTTGCGGAGAGCCCATGGACCGGCCGGCAGACAAGAGGCCAGAACATAACGCGGGGCCGGGAGGACTTCGCGCAGTCGCGCCAGCAGACGGATATAGTCCGATCCTTCTTGTGGGTCGGAGGGGTATTCCCAGTCCACTGTTGGGCCAGCACACGGTTGGTTAGCCTTAGGGCATGCACACAATTTTACCTTATTTTCTGCAAAGTAGATACTGACATGACGCATCCATGATGATAAGGGGGGGAGGGGCTGGGATCCATCGCACGTACCGTCGATACCATCCAGACCAAACTGGTCCACCAGCGCCCTCGCGCTCCGAGCAAACGTCTCGGTGCGAGATTGACTGCGGGCCACTTGGGCGAAGTTCTCGCTGCCCTTGCCGCCTCCTCCGACTGAGAGAATGAGCTTCATTTTAGAATACTGCGGCTTCAGTTGCGCAAAGGCCCGCAGGCAGCCGTTAGTGCCGTCGACGGGCATTTGTGCATCGGCCCATTCGTCACTGAGCTGTTATTCAAAGCATGTCCTGTCAGCGAGATCAGCCCCTCACAATAAGGGGAGAGGACTGGTTACATAAACGGTACCATCTTCTTTAACCCTGTGAACGAAGAAAGCAGGCTGGTTAACAACTGTCTCTGTGTATGGACTGGGACCATCAGCATGGTGCCGACTTGAGGTTACTAGTACCATGCAAACGCGTAGAAGATATGAGAAATGAAGCCCAATCGAAGGGCCGACGGAGGCTGTTTCCGGTATATCCTCCAATTGGGATAATAGGCAGCGTTCAAGAAGAAGGGCACCTCGTAGGAACTATTACTGGAGCGTTCGGCTGCTTTGCGCCGCCAGTGCGGAAAGAGGGAGGAGCCGGAGAACATGGCCAGCAGTGGTGGACGAGGGGGAGGGGAACAAGGGTGCAGTAGAACTAGAGGGGGCAAAGATTGACTCTCCGAGAACCAGGATGTGAGGTCAAAATACAGAAAAATAAGCTTAAGATCGTGATGCGATGATTAAAGATGGAACAAGCCCCAGAATGGCCAGTGTCACGTGTGGAAGGGCTTTTTGGTTTGGTGATGCGAATTGGGGACTTTTTGATTTGCTCCCCCCACGCGAGTATGGAGAAGGTAAGGGATCGTACGATTAGTGTGGCAGTGGGTGTTTTCTTTTTTTCTTTTTGTTCTGCTGAGGTCTTGAGCAATTTAAACCCTCTGATCTGCAGCAGGAGCAGCAGGAGCAACGGGAGAGAGACACTGCAACGGAGCTGTTGATGGATGGACTGGCAGGAAGGAAAGAAGGCAACCAGGATGAACCAGCAGCATCAGCATCAGCGACAGCAACAGCAACAACAATGACAACAACGAGAGCTGCTTCTTTCGTTCCTCCGGCCAAACCACGTACAACCACTTGAGTCGACCCGACGCAGTGGCTACATCAGTATCATCCCACTCTTTCCATGATCCAGGTACTTGGCTTTTTCTACAACTACCCTTCCCTGTACCCTACCACGTACTACTCACGTACGTATTCTCGTTTCTAGGGTTGCAATGCGGCCGATTTGCAGGCAACATCCTATGCAGCTTTGTCATGCAGGCTGCTAAGGTTAGGGGCCTATTTCGGTCGGTTCCCCCTCCTCCATCAGCAGTGACCTGGGCTAGTCAATCAGATCAACGTCCGACGATGGGAGCATCTGATGATGACCAGCCACAGCCCCAGACACGGTCCAAACGTTGTCACCCCGCCTTTTGCTGTCCCAGGTTCCCAGGTCGGAGGAGCAGATCAAGCGATCGTGTTGATCATTGGCCGCCCCGGAACGTTCTCCCTCTTCATCTGGTGTACCAGCCAGAGGACGCGGCTGGCTAAGGTTTGTTTTTAAGGCCCGGGTCTTACCCTCTCGATACTCTCCGGTGAGATTCTGGTGCTTCGAGACCTCGCAAAAGTCCAATGACAGTGGCGTCTGTCACTAAGCCTTCTTTATCCAAAACCCGAGTAGCTCGCGATGAGATTATAGACTCGTCGCACGGGACTATTGATTCTGACTGAGGAGAGGTCAATTCAGCGATCGACTGCTGATGCAATATATCCAGAGCAATTGCCGGGATGTATCAGCATTGCAGTGATTGGCCACAATGGGGGTGATGCTCAGTAATCCTTATGAAGTATTCGCTCAGTTGTTCCGGATCGGACTGGGGGATCGACTGGGTTGGAAAATGCAGTTTTTGCCCACTATTTTCTTATGGCTGCAGTTAGAGTTCCCACCGTCGTTGCTTTTTTTTCTTATTTTTTTTTCCCCTTCCCTTTTGCACCCTCGTTTGAGGGAAATGTTGGTTGTGGGGGAGATGCAGCCGCGGACGACTAACCTGTAGGACTAGTGACGCCCCATCCCCGCATGAAGGACCGCGACTCAATTACCTTGATGCTGAGTGGGAGACCTTTTCACCCATACTGAATCAGCATTTGATCCCCGAGCGAATAGGCACCGAGAACGAGGAGGGGTGAGACAATCCTCGGGTTCTTAGCGTCAAGTACACTTTTTCTCCGGCGCGTTACTCGCCAGCGACAGGAGCCGCTCCGGAGCGCCGACAACCGCGGCGGTATTGTTGCTGAAGCTATTCACTACAAGAAAAGAAGAAGATGTGAAAAAAAAGGGAGGAGGAAGCATGGGAGCATTGAGGTTGTGCTGCTCACTGGAACTAGGTTACTTCCCGGGGCTATTCCCCAGTTCCAAGTTACACCGTACAACATGCATCCTTCTCACAGTCGAGCAGGGAGTCGGGCGTCAGACCCATCGAGCAACGGACCATGTGATCTCGTAAGTCGTAGGAATGCTCGTATGCAGGGGCAGCCAGGCTTGCCTGCGCCTGGGAAACGTACCCATTGGCCTGCTGCAACTGGGCCCGGCGCTCCCCCAGGCTGCCGTCAACCATCTACGAAAGACGGGGTACGTCTCGCTGCAGCATGGATGGCTGACTGTGCCCAAACAAGGGCGGGGAATAAGCATCGACGAGGAATCCCGTTTAGACAAACCGATCTCACTGTAGAAGTAACTAGTAGATGCTTCTCGGATTACGCTCTTCTGCTCTTCTGCTCTTCAGCTCTTCATGCGTTACTACCAATATTTACATGGTTCGATGGACTTCCACAATGAGATTGCTGAATAAGCATGCTGTATTGCCACCGCCTTCCTCTTTCAACATACTGCCCTTTCAAGGCTCGGAGTCGCTCGTCAGGACTCCTCCGATGCAGACTGATCATTCATCATTCTTCAAGTCTGCTCTCTTCCATATGCTAAGTGTCTGAGGGTGCCAAACACTTTGCAAGGCAATAGGGCACTAATTGGGTCTATATCCTAGCCCACCTCAGTCATCTGATTGACTGCAAACAAAGCAAGGACCTCCGCTCAAACGTGTCGACGAGCGAAAAGCTCCTGCTCTGCCTCTCTATCCTTCCTAGTACCCTCTTGTCGTTCAACACAAAACCAATCAACATGACGGCAGACGTGAGCCATGCAGCATCACGCGTGCTCACCTCCAACAGCCCCCGCGACCCGAGCTTTGATGAATTCTCCTTCGTCCCCTTCCTCCGCCAAAGCTACGGCTTCGGCCTCGCCAGTGATGTACCCGTCTGCAAAGCCTACAGCGAAGGTCACTGCCCTCTGGGACCAGCCTGTCCCGATCGCCACCCGACCCCATCGCGTGTCACCACGTCGACCACCACCGCGTCGGGACTAGCACCGTCAACCACACATGGATCGCTGGTTTGCAAGCATTTCCTCAAGGGACTCTGTAAGAAGGGTCTCAAGTGCGAGTACCTTCATGAATACAACCTCCGCCGCATGCCGGAATGCCAGTCCTTCTCGCGGTCCGGCTACTGTCCCAATGGCGATGACTGCCTGTATCAGCACGTGCGGGAGCAGGCGCGTCTGCCCCCCTGTGAACACTACGACCGGGGATTCTGCGAGCTGGGACCTCTGTGTGCCAAGCGGCATGTTCGTCGGCGCTTGTGTCAATACTACTTGGCCGGGTTTTGTCCGGATGGCAAGGCCTGCGTGGATGCTCATCCCCGGTGGTCGGAGAACCTCCCCCGTCCGCAAATCCGGGTCGAGAAGACCGAGGAAGAGCTGGAACGGGAACGGGCCTTGATCCGGGAAGAGCAGGAGAAGGAGAAGGAGCGTGAGAGGGAGTGGAGGAGTGAGCGTGGTCGCGGTGGGGGCTTCATGCGGGGTCGGTACCGGGGGCGTGGACGCGGATAGAAGAAGCAGAAGATGATGATGATGGTGACGGTGGAAGGGGAAAGGGGTTGGTTGTATGCGTTTTGCAGATTTGAGTTTACAAAATCGTCGAGATACCCAGCTGAGAGGCATGTTTACACTTATTTTACATGGTTAGATCTATCAAGGTTGCATTTGGATTGTCTTTGTCGTGTATCTGAGAATACATAGTAGGGAGACAGTTTTTGAATGAAAGAATATACGATAAGAATGATGATGAAGCAGAGCTGATGCTTTAGCTTGATTAGGAATATGGTGTCTATTAGAGACATCGGGACAATCTAATATGGGGCTGGGTACGGGAGTCGATGGACGGTCTAGCCAGACCGTGCACGGATTTCCGCTACTCAATTGCCAACTAGGTTACTGTGTAGTGTGTACACTGTAGATAGGGCCAAGTGAGCGTCAGCAGCAACCCCTAACAAACAAAGAGAGAGCAGCTATTCCACAGTAGGAATGTGAGAAAGACACTCTCTTAGTCGACAGTGATTAGGTGCTATCCAGATGACATCATGACTATCAGATACCCTTATTTAGTTAGCAAGTGGAAGATGAGAAAGCAGATTGTCAGAATCCCCTAATCTTCATCAGGGGCCCTTCGATTCCCAAAAAGAGGAGGGATCAAACCCGTGCCGCCAAAGGTGTCACCATTGCTTGTTCCCACGGGGAGGAGAGGAGAGGAGGGGCTTATGAGATGGTGAATAAGAGATCGTTCAGCGCCAGTCGAGTCCATCCGAGCTCCATTTGTCAATGATCCGTAAGGCTCCACAATCACGATTGATTGGATGGCATCACGCCGAGTGGCTCCGGAATTCCACTTTTAGGTACCTCCAGACCAATCATCGTGCCAGGGAGAAAGGGTCCGTACGGGAACAGGCGAACGGTAGTAATCGATTACGGATGCTTGCCAAACGCTGAGTGAGAAGAAGCTGCTTTGAGTTGCGGAGCTCCTCAACCACAGTACCTTTCCCCCCCCTCCCTCTCGAGGCTATAAAGTCTGGCCACCATGGCCGGACCCATTCACTTGTCTTTTTCTTCTCTTCATCAGAAGTAACCTTTTCCTCTGTGCCTTTCTTTTCTCCCAGGTTCACCCCACCACCCCACCATCACCATGGCTCCCAAGATCGCTATCGTCTTCGTAAGTGATATCCCACTGTTTGGTGACATTTCAACATGTTGGAAATTCGCATGACTAATGGGCCAATTAACTACAGTACTCCATGTACGGCCACATCCTCAAGCTGGCCGAGGCTGAGAAGAAGGGTATTGAGGCTGCTGGCGGTTCCGCCGACATCTTCCAGTATGTCAATAGCTGCAACTGAAATTCTATCGCAATTGTCCCGGTGACTAACCTATACCGTCTAGGATCGCCGAGACCCTCTCCGACGATGTTCTGGCTAAGATGCACGCTCCCCCCAAGTCCAGCTACCCCATTGCTGAGGCCAACACCCTCCTTGAGTACGACGCCGTTCTCTTCGGTATCCCCACTCGCTACGGTAACTTCCCCGCTCAGTGGAAGGCCTTCTGGGACCGCACTGGTGGTATCTGGGCCTCCGGTGGCTACTGGGGCAAGTACGCTGGTCTCTTCGTTTCCACCGGTACCCAGGGTGGTGGTCAGGAGTCCACCTGCCTTGCTGCCATGAGCACTCTCGCTCACCACGGTTTCGTCTACGTCCCTCTCGGCTACAAGACCGTCTTCGCCCAGCTGTCCAACCTCAACGAGGTTCACGGTGGTAGCGCCTGGGGTGCTGGTACCTTTGCTGTAAGTTTTTCTCTCCCCAAAACTGACACCGGACCGTTTCGATTGGCGACAATATACTGATGACTTTTCTTTTCTACAGGGTGCCGACGGCTCCCGCCAGCCCAGCGCTCTCGAGCTCGAGGTTGCTGAGGCCCAGGGCAAGGCCTTCTACGAGCACGTTGCTGCCCACAACTTCGCTTGACTACATGGTAGCGAGCAGGCCAAGTCGGAGTCGCAGCCTGCGGCGGCCGCAGCAGCGTCGCAAAAACAGACGACTCAGACTCCGAAGTCCCAGCCTGCGCCAGCCAAGAACGGTCAGAACACTCAGGGAGCGAGTGATGCAGACAAGAGTAACGAGGGACCATGTGGTTTGCCTAAGAAGTGCACCATTATGTAAATCGATTTGCACTTGATACCCTGCAGTTTCATTCGTGCCTTGCTTTGCTTTGACCGGGTTGGATTGGATACTGGCGTTTAATTCGGAGGACTGGGTCTCTTGTTGTTGTGATGCTATTTCCATAATATAAATAGAACAGAATCATAATTAATAAATATACATTTATAAATATATAAATATATATAATTATACAGCTCTTGACTCAGACAGTATGTGGTGTACATGTTAATTATAGTCATGAATGAGCTATGGATGGGTTGACGAGGGAAGTATCTGGATTACCAAAGATACACCATTTGTCAGCGGAGAAGAGACGGCGGGGTGGTACCAGGCGGTAACGGCGTGCAATGACGATAGAGCTCCGCTGCCGCCTTAATCGGCTCTCCTCCAAGCTCTCTCAACTCTCTGTCTCTCTCTCGTTCAACTTCTCTCACCTCTCTTCCCACCCCGCCCACTGCCATGATCTGATGAGTTTGATGAGTTTGATGTGTTACTTAAGCTGCACAAACATTGATTCAACTCTACTATTCTGTCCAACCCCTTCTTGCTAGGGTATCACCACTATGGCGTCACGCCCAATCGTACTGAGGTTCGAAAGCCGCAACGGCCAGTTCCGGTTGACGGTCAACCCGCAAGAACTGTTCCCGTCTCTGCAGCCACAGGTGTGTTCCCTATACCTTATGGCATAATACTTAAAGCTCGAATAAGTGCTTATACTCTCTAGATCCTAGAACGCCTCCCTCCGAACGTCGATCCCTCATCTATCACTCTCTCTAACCGGCCCATCGGCACCGGTGGTGAAGAAAGACTTCTTAACAGCTTAGATGGCGTGGGTTTGGACAAAGTTGGTTTGAAGTGAGTTGAGACCCGCATTTTGGACAGATTCTGCGCTGATCCAGGTCACCTGTCATAGCTACTAACACTGCTCGGTTCTTTCCTGTCAGGCACGGCGATAAGCTCTTCATCGGGTATCAAGAAAACCAAGGACAACAGAATGGCACAGCCAACGGTCACATAACCCCCAGCGCGGGTGAAGCTTCGCGACGTCTAAATGGAGCTCCCGTGCCCCAAAGCGAAACGGTAACCTTCCGCCCTCCGCAGCCGAGCTCGCCTACAGCCACGATCAAGAACCCTTGGGACGTGGTGCAACAATCGCCGCTAGATGATATGCTGGACAAGAAGGATGGGAAGATCAAGCGAGGCCTGGATACGAAGTTCTGCCGGCACGGCCCCAAGGGAATGTGCGACTACTGCATGCCGCTCGAGCCCTACGACCCCAAGTATTTGGCGGAGAAGAAGATCAAACACCTCTCATTCCATTCGTACCTGCGGAAAATCAACGCCTCGACCAACAAAGCCGAACTCAACAGCTCGTTCATGCCCCCGCTTAGTGAGCCGTATTATCGGGTACGGCGAGACTGTCCCTCTGGACACCCGCAGTGGCCGGAGGGCATTTGCACCAAGTGCCAGCCGAGTGCGATCAGTCTTCAGCCTCAAGAGTTCCGGATGGTGGATCATGTGGAGTTCTCTTCGCCGGATCTCATCAACTCGTTGCTCGACTTTTGGCGGAAGTCGGGCGCCCAGCGGTTAGGGTTTCTCTACGGTACCTATGAGGAGTATAAGGAAGTTCCGCTGGGGGTGAAAGCCGTGGTCCAGGCCATCTATGAGCCACCGCAAGTAGATGAGGTGGATGGAGTTACGCTCCATGAATGGCCGAACGAGAAGGAGGTGGACGAGGTTGCACATCTATGTGGTTTGGAGAGGATTGGCGTGATCTTTACGGACCTACTGGACGCAGGTCGTGGAGACGGTTCGGTGATCTGCAAACGACACATCGACTCCTACTATCTGTCCTCCTTGGAGATTGCTTTTGCAGCGCGGTTGCAAGCGCAACACCCGAAGGCCACGAAATGGAGCCGAACAGGCCGCTTCGGCTCGAATTTCGTCACCTGTGTGCTGAGTGGCGACGAGGAGGGCGCCATTGCAATCAGTGCTTACCAGGCGTCAGTAGCGGCCGTCGAGATGGTCCGCGCGGACATTGTTGAACCATCGGCAGAACCCTCTGTCATGCTGGTGCAATCCGAGGACGACGACACCGAGAACAAGTCGCGGTATATCCCCGAGGTCTTCTATCGCAAGATCAACGAGTACGGCATCAGCGCTCAGCAAAACGCGAAACCCAGCTTCCCCGTCGAGTACCTTCTGGTCACCTTGACACACGGTTTCCCAACGGACGCCTCCCCCCTATTCACCGACAGCAGCTTCCCCATCGAGAACCGCGAAGTCATCGGCGAGAGCCAGGAGCTCATCCACGTGGCGAAGAAGCTAGTAACCCACGGCGACCCGGACAAAGCAATCCGAGCCGTCTCGGACTTCCACATGCTGTGCTTCCTGCACTCCCTGTCGACATTCAACAAGGTAAACCCTCATCGCCTACATGACTTCCTTCCATTCAGGAGCAAACCGTCCTAACCAAACCCACCCACCTTCTCACAGGACGAAGAAGCCCTACTATGCCGCGTCGCGACGCAACGTGCCCCCGCAGATGGCCTGCAGCTGATCAACACCTCTGGATGGGCTACCCTGGTGACCATTCTTCAGGAAAGTGGTGAGCGCCCCCCTAAGCGCCCCTGGCTGCCCACACCCGAGCCTTACCCGCCACGTTCAGTGCCCTACAACCCCGGAAAACGTTCCCTCCCCTCCTCTACCTCTTCTTCCTCTCATCTCAGGCCCGAGTCTCCCAAATCTGAAAGTGAACGTCTTGCTAAGAGGTTTAAGGGAGCTAGTCTAGAATGAAATTCTTTTGTTGACTAGTCCGATGACCGAATCCCAACCAATCCCAAATCTCCTTCCGTCTATCTCTATATCCTACCTCTTTCTGCCTGTCCATTACTATGTCACTCTGTGTCTCGGGCTCCATCTCAACCTCAACCTCAACCGCAACGTCTCAGTCAGCACCCTTCTATATCGATCATTTCCTACTTCCAATACATATACAATCGTTTGTCCGTGCCGCACATGCGTGTACCTAAAGCGGAGGACGAGCCGGAGTAAAGGGCATGGAATAATAAGGGAAGGAAGCAAGGAATGGAAATTGGGGAAAGGGGGAAACCGGGGAAAGCGGGGATTATATTTACAAAGTATAGCATGGTACATCCAAGCCACATGAATATGAACTATACTCCCATTTATCAATACGTGGGATACTTACATTGATTTGCCTCTACTTTCATTATCATATGTCAATGCTATATTCTCGGAGGTAGTTGGGTTACTTGGAAATATAACAATGATGGAGCTGAGTACGTATCATATGGTACATATAGTACAGTATGGAAAAATAACAACATATTGTATCGTCAATTTCGTAAGATCGTGCAAGATTTCAAACACGTTATGTAGGAGATAAAGTGACTAGATATGTGAAGAGACATGAATATAACGAGCTGAGAAAGGGAGAAAGCAAACACGAACACAATATGAAGGGAAAAAAAGGAAGAAGAACAGAAGTGATATTAAAAGGAATACAATCCCCTACTCATCCTTCTTGACCAACTCGCCCAATCTCTTCTCAATAACCCTCCTCCCCTCCACATCGCGCCAAACCTCATGTGGCGCCCCCTTCACAATATCGAAATTCTTGAGGTTCTTCGTAATTTTGGTCAACTCCTCCTGTCTCTTCGCCCACTTCTCACTCTTCCGGACCTCAATACCGGAACTGATCACCACGAGTGGCGTGTCCGCCATCTGAACGTGTCTGGCCGTCTGGATCTCCGAGGAGGTCATCGACTCTGCGACAAGGTTCTCCTGTAATTTCGCCTTGACGATCTTCCCCGTTTGGTAGGAGCTGCGGCCGTAGACGCGGTCTTCGCGTGTGCGTCCCTTGAAGATGGCCCCAGCGATACGGTCCAGTCCTAGCGGGGTGAAGATGCCGCGAAGCCAGAGCGTGAAGCCGCGGCCCGGGGAGCCGATGTTACTGAGGTAGTCTTCGTGGAGGCTGTCGATCAGAACGATACCAGAGATCTCGAGCAGGTGGCGACTGGCGAAGATGCGGCTGTAGATGCCACCAACGCTGGCCGAAACGAGGATCCAGGGGCCCTCTTCGCCGGCGAGAGCGAGTGCTTCGGATAGGGCATCTGCTGCCATGCCGGCGGAGAAGGGGGAGGGCGCGTTGTCGGACCAGCCGAAGCCGGGACGATCCCAGTAGCAGTAACGAGGGACGATGCCAGACTGGTATGCATCGTGGATGAATGGCTGCAGGGTATGTTCGACGGGCCAGTCGCCACCTTCGATGAGGATCGTCGGGGTGTCATTCTGAAGACTGTGGGTAGCGTTACCGACGCAGTGGAGGTGGACTTGGTAGCTGTCGCCGTTGACGTAGTATTTCTTGCCGGGGGCGGGGAGGGATGCGTCGCGGGCGCGAAGGATCAGGGTGGCGGTAAACAGGATGACGATGATAGCGAAAATGACCAGGAAGACGGTCTGAATGAGAACAGCGACCCATTCGCGCAGGGGACGGCGGGTTTCCGGCCGCCCTGTCAGGCGCTCCTCTTCCTCCCGCTTACCCCATGCCACGGAGTGGTTCTGGACAATTGTATAGAGAGAGATGAAAGCTGCCCAGACTACCGATGCGACTCCCACCCAGCCTTCTTCAAGCCGGATGCGAGGGACGGCTAGAGTAAGGATCATGTCGATGAGGAGGAAGATGGCAATGATGATACCGGACACGGACATGGGCTTGGACGGGATAGCGAAGAACAGGAGTCCGAGCAGGAGGTACCCGGTTGTCAGGGTCGTATAGGCGAAACTGAAGAATCCGGATCCGCGCGAGTGCATCATGGGTGGACTGACGAAGAGGGAGACGAGAAGGAAGGTCCACCAGATGAAACTGATGGCGAGGAAGAGGGAGGAGAGGCCTCGTAGGGCTCGGATGCCCCAGAGGTTGTAGGGAGAGACCTGGCGAGCCTGGTGTTAGCCATATTCTAAGTGAAGGGAGGTGTTTCTATGCGAAGCTCACAGCAGGGTCATCAGGGCTCAGATAGGCCGGGGGCTCGCGCGGGAGCAGTCGTGTGCGCTCATCTGGCTCATCGTGTCGTCGCTCATCCTCTCGATCGCGCTGCTCGCCGGTCCTGTCGGACTCGTCGCTTCGTCTAAATTTAAGGGACACCATTGTGCTTTTCTTCACCCTGGTGCGCTATAGAAAGATAGGTGCGGGGACAGATGGGTCGAGATAAGAAACGAAGGCGCGACATGGATCGGGATGCCGATGGAGAGAGTCATGAGGCAGATGCTGACGTCACGGCATGGCAATTGCTGGATAGTGGAACCGGGAGGGCCCCAAAAGCACACAAGAAGGGGATCCATGATGGTTGCGAGCATCACCGGCTGGCATCTGGCTGGCGGCAATGCTCAGCCGTGACGTCACGGCAGGCTTATGTCACCGTCATGGACACAATATCATCACCGCCATTTGCTGGTGCAGGATGGAGAGTCAATGGTAAGGATGAGGAGGTAAGACAATAGACGGACAGGACTGGAATTGCAAGGCATGGGTGCATGGTGGAGAAGACAAATCTCTTTGAATGTATAGTCGGAGGGAAAACATCAATAGATTAAGAACAAAGAGAAAAGCAATAAGTACACAATTAGCGCGTCGATCCATCAGGCACACGCCTGGTCAGCTGACCTGCCGCACCGTGGGGATACCCATCCTGGTGCATACTTGTTCTATATTGTCTAGACCATATTTTAGGGTATAATTGTGGATAGACATTCAATTGCACTCTATACAGACCCCAGTTGATAAGATCGAAGACCCACTGGGAGAAAGATCCCTGGAAAAACCTGGTGATCTGCAAAATACCATCAAGTATCATCAGTCAATACGATACGGTATGTAAGGTATCAGCCATCTTGGTATGCAGCAAATCCATTCCTCCGTCAGCTTATCTTTCTAGACCTCTTATATACTTCAGACACATTTTCTACTGTGACATAAAAACTCCATATCCAATCTACAGATCCTACATCTGGACCATAGTGGTGCCAACAGCACACACGCCTATCATTCCCCTCCAAATCTACTCACCCGCCACTAAACATCCCCTCCATCAACCGCATGATCCACTCGCCAGCTCCAGCTCCAACTCCCGACTCAAGCTCCTCTCCAATGTCAACATCCACACCTCCAAGCCTAGAGCTGATCCTATCCACAACCCCATCTACCTATCTACCCAGTAAATCTGCGCAGCCTTCATGAGCGAGCTGCAAAAATCCTTTGCCAAGTCCAGACTGGCCAAGCTGCCTCTCCAACCGCCAACCGGGCCGTCCATGCAACCCCTCGACGAAGAGGTCAGTCACGACGATGACTCTTCCTCAACCTCGTCCACAGGGACAATAGTTCCCTCACCCAGCAGACAACTGTTCGCAAGGCCAGGACGCGGGTGTGTATACCCTCACTCCACCGCCCCTCCCCCACAATTCACTATCTAGCGATCACCAAACTAAAACACTTATCAGATCCGTCCAACAAACAACCCTTCCCTGGACAGACTACTTCACCCAGGAGCTCTATCTCACACAAATAGACACATCCAACAACATCAAGATCACTCACCATGTCTACCTCACACCACCAGCAGACTCCTCCAGTCCCCTCTTCGTCATGCATCACGGCGCCGGCTCATCCGGTCTATCATTCGCCGCATGCGCCGGGGAGATCCGCAAAATCATCCCCAAAGCCGGCATCTTGTCCATAGATGCACGCGATCACGGCAGCACGGCAGTCACTCACGCCTCAGGCGAGGATGGGAGCGAGGGCATCGAGCTAGACCTAAGCCTCGAGACGCTGAACCGGGACCTCGTATTCGTGGTCCGCGAAACACAGACCCGAATGGGCTGGGAGAGTCTCCCCGATCTGGTCCTTGTCGGCCATAGTCTAGGTGGTGCGGTGATCACGGATGTAGCCAGACAGGGCGAGCTGGGAAGTAAAGTACTAGCATATGCAGTTTTGGATGTTGTAGAGGGTAAGCCAGCCCTCATCTCATCTCACCAAGCAGATTACAGGTAAAAGAAAATAAAATACTAACAGAAAGAAACAGGATCCGCCATGGACGCCCTCCAAAGCATGGAAACTTATCTCATGACCCGCCCATCGCGCTTCCCATCCATCACTTCGGGGATAGAATGGCAGTAAGTGATCAAGCAACAACCCCATCCACACTCATTTACTTAATCCAACTGTAAAGCACCCGCTCGCGCACAATCCGCAACAAAACCTCCGCCCGCGTCTCCGTCCCCTCCCTCCTCTACGAAGACCCCAACTCACCCGACCCCACCAAACCCTGGATCTGGCGGACCAATCTCTCCGCCACGAAACCCTTCTGGGAGAACTGGTTCGTCGGTCTAAGTCGCAAGTTCCTCGATGCTCGTGGTGGGAAGTTACTCCTCCTAGCGGGGACAGATCGTCTCGATAAGGAGTTGATGATTGGGCAGATGCAGGGTGCGTATACTCCCCCATCCTATTCCTCTTATTTACTTAGGTTACTTTTGAAACTGTGTTGAGTGGATGATATGCTAATTATCTATATCTGCAGGTAAATACCAACTACAAGTCCTGCCGGAAGCAGGCCATTTCATTCAGGAAGATCAACCGGCCAAAACGGCGCAGATTTTGGTAGATTTCTATAAGAGGAATGATCGCAGTGCGTTGGTTTTGCCGCCTAAGGTGGCGGATTTGCAGGCTTCGGCGGCGATGAAGAAGGGGGCTGGGAGTGGTGCTGGTGCTGGTGCTGGGGGGTTGTTTAAGAAGATATAAATATGGTATACTATACTAGATCTTGAATATAGGTTTGAGATTATTTCATGCTGTATCAAGTGGTGATGGACTAGGAGGTATGTGCTGTTTCAAAGTAGCTGTATTGAGTATTTGGAATAAAAATTGTGACTAGTAGTAGGATCTTTCCATCCTGGATTAAATACAATGCCGCCACCAACACCAATGCCCACCGTCAATGCCCCCAAAGACGCCACATGCTACCGATTATCCTGCCTATGGATGTGGGATAAGAAGACAGGAAATCGTATTAAACGCAGAACAGAAAGATGATATAGATCAATGCGAAAAAGAAGAAAAGGAATAAAGGGTATCTGGCGCTGTTGCATACACGTCCCTCACTTAAGGAAGATAGGCGCCCCCAGCAATGATCAAATTCATATTCGTAAACTTCACCTTGTAGACTGGGCTCTTCTTCGTGGGAAAGGCGCTGATCTGGTCGGGCGTCACCACGACATCCTTGCCCTTCTTCTTGCCCATACCCGGGGCGACCGCACTTGAGGTTTGCGTAGTGCTGGGTGCTGGCTGGTTGCTGCCGTCGACCTTGGTGCCTGCGCCGCCCTCGCCGACGACACGGCCTTGAGAGGGGTCCTGAGCCGGGCCCGTCACATCCCACACGCGGACGGTGCCATCAGCACCACCGGAGACCAGGACTGTTGATTCGACGCTCCAGCTCAGGGACCAGATTCCGCCCTTTCCATGACCGCGCATGCGCTTCAGCAGTCGGCCAGGAGCAAGGTCCCACAGTAGGATGGATCCTTGGTCATCTGCCGATGCGAGGAGTTTTCCGTCGCGGCTGCATGCCAGAGCAGTGATGTTGCCAGTGTGTCCGGTGAACATGCGGACTGCATTTCCCGTGGTAACGGCCCACATGCGGACCGTGTGGTCGGAGCTACCAGTGAAGACGTACGCCGAGTTGGGGTGGAAGCAGATGCAGTCAACGTCCTGGTCGTGCCCGACAAAGATACGCTGCTGGCGGATATGATCCGTAACCCAAAGGCGGGCAGTCTTGTCGTGTCCGCCAGAAACAAAGTAATGGCCGTAGGGGCCCCACTGGAGGTCCCAAACCGGCTGGTCGTGACCCTTATAGACCACCATGCACTGCCAAAGGTCCAAGGACCAGAGACGGATGGTCTTATCTGCGGACGACGAAAGCAGCCAGCGCGCGTTCGTCGGGGCGACGGCATTGTCCGTCTTGGTAATCGATGGTGCAAATGCCACTGAATAGACCGGTCCGGAATGTCCGATTAGACGGCGAGAGTTCGAAGGTGGAGTATCATCCACGTTGTCGTAGGTCGATTGAATTTTCTTGCCATCCATGCTCCAGACCCGGATGTATGACTCCTGCATACCAGCTGCGACGAGCATAAGATCATCCGAAAAGTCCAAGCAGTTGATTCTGTTGATTGTTAGTCAAGACCTAATACCAATGAGACCATGTTACCTACCCATCATAGGTGTTGTGGAAGGTGAACATGCAGACGCTCACAGCGGGACCCACGCCACCAGTTCTGCCCTCAATCCTGAATCTGTCGCGGTTCTCCTTAACCTTCTGAATCTCTATAGCCACGTCTCGAGCAGTTGACGGAGGATAGGGGATATCAGCACGAGTTGGAGCTTCTTCATCCTCTTCCTTCTTGATCATCTGGTCAAACTCTTGAATCAGAGTGTTCTGACCTGGGCCTGGAGGGTTCTTCGCATCCTCATCCGCCAGCTCGCCCCTAACATCTGTCTCGAGGGCTTGCTCCAGAGGAAGCTTTCCTAGCTTAAGCCTGGGCAGAGTTCCCGCCATGTTCGGGTTGTCTCCAGTGTATGCAGAGCCGGGATGGTGACCAGGAATGCCTTCATCTTCACTGGGAAATGTCTGACCATCTGTTTGGCCCAGCATCGCAGCGAAACTGAATCTATCGTCCGCGGTACGCTCTTTGGTGATGATAGTACAATAACTGCTTAGAATTGCAGTCATATCTGAGCCACCCTCTTTCTGCTTGCTTTCCAGGAATTGCATGAGGTTCGAAAAGGCGGGGTTGCTGAGAACCAAACGATACTTGTTTGTACGATATAGCTTGGCGGTCGAATTGGCTTGCACATGCTCTGGCAAGCTGATTGGCTCCAATGCGCGCACATCTTCTGTATGCTCAGGCAAGAAGAGGTTCTTGTTCAGATCAAAGAACTGCTTGGCATCCTGCGGCTTGAAGGAAGATACCATGTTGATGAAAGTGTATACGAACAGCGGCCAGAGGACACGTCTCAGTTCAGGCTTTAGAACGTAAGTATGGATCCGATACATGTGAGCAGGATTCTGCTTCTTACCTTGTAAAGATCCAAGTTGTCTTCAACCCAAACCTTGAGCAAGTCTACGTACTGTTAGCACTGTTTCGTATCATCAAAACCGAAAAGGACTTACCAAAACCCATCCTGTACTTGGGTCGTGCATCTTCGCCAAGAGGGGGCATAGGAGGACGGCCATCGATTTCTTGATGTGCCGACTCAATACGTAGCATAGCCTCCGTACGACTATAGCCCTTCTTTGCAAGATAATCGATGACCTGGAAAACATTAGTACAAGCGGTGACAAGACAATGTGACAGCATGATGCGCAGTAGTAGCAATATACGCTCGGCACGATGAAAGGCAATGTTAGATGACAAAGAGGAAGCCCGGACTAGCAAATGTAGGCATTCCCATACTCCTTTAGTGAAGATTGAATACAATAATCACAACTGACTCAGTTCATAATCATAACCAAGCCATGTGCGGAAAGCATACACCGGGGTAACACCACCCTATCACACCGCAGTCCAGGCACAGGCACATGACGCAATGAAACATAGTACACCCCAACAACAAACATAGACAGTTAAAAGATAAACCAATGACTTACTATTTGATTGAGGTTCTGCTGCGACATCGGACCACCGGGAGGCGGCGGCGGAGGCGCAGGAGGACCCGGAGTGACAGGCCCGGCGTTGGTCATGGGCTGCTGAGGAGGCATAGACATGCCACCACCGGGCCCCATGCTTCCACTTCGGGGAGCAGGGCTGGGGGCCCCGCCTGGCGCAGACATCGCGCTTGAACGATCAGATGCAGATCAATATCTAGCCTCAAATGTAGAGAGTGAGGAGCGAGCGGATGAGACAAGATTAATGGCGAGTCGCAAGTAACAGCAGGGTGACGGCAGGACGAGGCGCGCAAGTATTCACGGGAGGTTTTGAAGTTCTGATATCGCACTATCGCGCTTCGGGTCTAGCGCGTCGGGCCCCGGCTGAGGTAAGCAGAGTTCCCCGGGTTGGGTGGACACGTGACGGAGCTTGTTGGTTGCAGGTCCAGATCGAGTAGTTACTCCATCGCCAATTCTACCTGTCATTCCTACTTGACTACTTCCTTCTGCTGGCAGCCTGGAACATAAACAAAGAAATAAAACCAAGAGCAAACAAAATGACAGATGTCAAAGACACCCGCAAACCAGACCAAGTCTTTACATCAGCGGATCGGATCCGGCAATTGAATGAAATAGACAAGGTGAGTTTAAGAGAAAAGAAATAGAGGCCCGGGATTATTCCCCGCGCGACACCCCCGAAATGCTACTTCCCTAGCGATGGATACTCAACATCCCCGCTACTACAATATTCATATTGTGTCATTGACTTCACACCACCCTCACTAATTGCCGCCGATCACTACAGGATGTGGCCAAGCTAATTCATTCCGCGGGTCTCGCAATCCAAGCCTTGACCAACGCTCGGTCGGGCGAGTCACCTTCGGACAATTCTCTCGCATCCCACCAAGCCCGCTTCAAGGAGGCCACTTCGCAATACTTCGCCCTCCTTTCGTCCATTGATGTTCGACTCCGTCGTCAGGTGTATGCTCTGGAAGAGGCGTCTATTCTTGCGCCGGACACAGCGTCGAGAGCGGAGAATCTACCTGGTGCGAGCAGTGGTGGAGTAGCGGGCGCATCATCGAACCCGCTCGATGTTAGTTGGCTTAACAGTCGGAAGGATACGGTGGGCAAGGATAAGGAGGCAGAGCTGTGGGCTGCTGCGAGGGAGTTCGTGGAGCGGATTAGCAATCCGGCGTCTGTGAGCTCGGGAGCGAAGACAGAGGGCGAGCAGGAGAAGATGGAGGTTGATTAGACGCCATTGATGTTGGGATGATTTACGAATTTTTGATAAGGCTTGGTCCTTGAATTGGCGAATATGGTGATTGCTCTACTATCTGGAGTTCTGTACCATATCTTGCCATGTGGTTGCAGGTGGAGCTAAGCGGACAGCCTGTCTATGATACCCAAATTTATTGAATGTATTGGCAATTGATTTTGCATTATGCAATGAAGAGTTGCTCGCGGGAATGGCTAGCCAGGCCATCACAGAAGACGGCACTTACAACGCACAATCACATAACGCCTGCAGTTCATCGTATACGAGTAATATTGGGATCCCCAGGAACCTTGAGCTCGAAGTACATACAACAAATGTAAATAAATAACAGCCTCTAAAACGACGCTATAATGGCTTCCTTAACTGACAAACAGACGACTAGCTGTGCATAGACCGGATCATCTCCAGGTGGGTAGCCCGATCTCTGTTCGACTCGGACAAGGAGGGGAGACCTGTTCCGCTTATTAGCATGAAATTGCCCGCCAGCTGATTAGACCTGCACTTACTCCGAAGTTCACCCACAACATCCTTAGCCTTGCCGAAGTATACCTCCTCTGTAAGAACGGTTCGATTAGCAATCAGCTCAGTAATGTGAAGACACTCGCTCCACAGTCGCAAAAGAAAGACATACGCAGCAAGTTCCTCATCTTCAACTCCATGTCCTCGACAAGTCGACCAACATTGGCGACGTGGCTTGCATCCGACTCGACGGGCAGATCCACCTCCACCTGACGGGTCATGTTGCCGCTCAGGTCCATCTCACCCAAGGACTCGGATTCATTGGCCAAGTGCAGGATCACGGTGCTAGTCAGCTTGTAGTGGGACATGCGCGCTCTGTCGGTAGCCTCGAAGACGTGGATACTGTCCCATTCTCCAGAGCTTTTAGCACCTGGCGTAACTCCTATGTAAAAGCAGGATGTTAGGATGCATTTCCAGTCTAGAGTATCAAGACAGCATTCGCTCACCCTTCTTCAACAATATAACACCGGCGAATCCATCGTCCAAGTCCCAAAAGTACACGCTGCCTACTCCACCCTCGTAGTACAGCTCACGGTAGACATCGAATGCCTCATTGGCGGCAACCTCGAGCTTTCTCACTCTCTCACTGGGCACGGTTCCATCTTCCAGCGGGGGGTCGAACTCATTGCTCCAGGGCGACCGGTAGCTATCTCCGTCGCGGTTGTAGTCACAGAGGAGGTAGTCGCGGTCTGTCTTGGGGCACTTGCGGATCTCTAGGGGCTGATCGACAGAAGAGAGGAGGTCCTCGGTCAGATCGGGGACGATGGAGGTGATTGCCTGGAGGTTTTGCTTCGTATCGCGGGGGTTGAGGCGCCGGAGCAGGTCCCTGGAAGCAGGTATGATGGTCAGCGGGAGGCAGCAAGCGGGGTCGATGGCGTGGATCGGTCGCCTCCAGAGACTAGGCAGGCTTCATGGTTTTGGAGCAAAGCCAGAACTGCAGCACTTACAGCGCACTGTCGAATTGAGCGTCAGCCATGATGATGATATGCTGAAATGTGTCTGATTGTGGTTGAGTCTGTCTACTGTTTAGGCACGGGTTCCGCCGTTCTCCAATGCGATCCGCCGCCCCCTAGGTTATTTCCCCATCGGGAATGTGGTGGGGCTACTGCCACACCAGGCCGCCCTCCCCGCCTGCCTATCAAGGTAAGTTGGACTCTATCGCTGGCAGATCATCACCGCCTTTTGAATCAGCTTACATTAGAAGGCTCATCTGACTATTCCTTACAGGCGTGGGGAATTCGAGGATTCGAGTGACTAACACAGGTACTGCTTGGTTGTTATCAAGAATGAAGTTTGTGGCGATTCACACTGCCTTACGTTGACTTGAAGCTTGAGACGTCAGCCACAAAGTTGTGTCACGTCACACCATCCACTATCATAAGGCCATCTAAGACTACGGAGTATGTCCATAGAGTCTTGAATGTTATGACAATTGTATAACCGATTTATGTTACATGGCTGTGCGGGGGATGAGCAGAGTTAAGATAAGCAACAAGTTGATATGAGAGGTAGACCGGCAAACCCTCAGCTTGCACTCTCCGTAATGCGGTACGGAGTCTCCCCCTTGATGATCTGACGTGGAACATCTACATGAAGCACGCCTTCCGCGTCCACAAACTCAGGTCGAGTGAACAGCCGAATCATATCCGGCATACCATCGTCGACGCTGTTGAACAGCTGGAAAGAATCCGCAAATGGCACACGCCACTTCCACCAGATATACTGGTCATCAACATCCGCCTGACCGGGGATTTGAAACTGCTCTTCAGCATCTTCCAATGCCTGAGCCCAGTTGGCTTTGATCTTGCGGTACTGCAGAACCACGGTCGAGTCATGAGGGGATCTCTCGTCAAGCTTAGCCAGCCACCCAGGAGACAGTCCGCCGGCTTTGCCTGCAGCCTTGAGTTCGTCGATTCGATTTTGTGTGTAGAGGCGGAGAGCAGAATCGGGGGCGTTTTTAAAGCCAGTCGTGAAGTCTTGCACGGGTAGTTCGGTGCCCCATTCATCGAATTGTTCCTGGTCAGGGGTGCGGACCAGACAGAAGATATTTGGATCTTCGCTGGCTTCAGCGAACTCTGTCAAGAATTGGTTGATCGTCTGATAGTGACAGTAGAAGTCAGTTATGCTTTGTAGTCTCACAAGACAGGGCTTTCATACGCTTGCTGGCACGTCGGAGGTGCAGAATAGGAAAATGCTCGTCATGATTGCCAGATGGTAGTGGTAAACCGAGATTGGTATTGAATGCGAATGCGAGTTGGTTGAAGCAAGGCTGAGGGTCTGGAAATGAGAGGAGGCTCTTATAGTCAGTATTAGGCTCATACATCCTGGCGTGGGTCCGCCCACCTGCCTAACCAACCTCGTACTTTGTCAGATCTATGAGATCGTCCCTCCCGCCAAGTCTCAAGGAATAGATTCCTTCTGGCAAATACTCTTTTGATATCTTTTGAAAATGGACCACGATTGAAGAGTACTTGATTTCAATGTCGTTTTTCTTTTGCCCATCGGCTGTCTCATCTATAGGCGCGAGTATCATGTGCTGGACGTGGATGCCTGCTTATGTACTCAGCTGACTGCAGATTTCGAAAAGCAGCTCAAAAAATCCCTCATATTGACCGTTTAACTACCTGAAATAGAGATGGGGATAGACTGAGGCTCACAGACTGACGTTCAGTGAAATAGTTGTGTTTGAGGCTGCTCACCCCGCTCCAGTGATTAGTAGAAGCTTCTTAGTGCCTGTGGCGGAGCGAGTCATCGCCATCTTCCAATGTAGGGCATATGCCGGTTTCTACTAATCCCCTCATTTTCGCCGAAAGGGCTGAGCTATTAGCCTTTAGCCAGGGCCTCTTATGCAGGGGCCAGTACTGGCAGTACTTTGGGAAATAATCCTTTCAGATCTATGATTGGCAACTATTATACCAACAAAGTAAGCAGCCTCTTACAAACGGGCATCAATCTGAGGATATTGACTTGGGACAGTTTAGTACTATCTAGCCATCTATAACAACAGAAATATCAGATACCAAGGGCTGCATAAGTCCTTATGCCCTTGTTTCGTTGAACCAACCCATCAGGCAAACTATTATGTCCATACATCGTGCTTCGAAACTAGCATAGATATCTATGCTACAGCTCAATTCCACCCTCATCCCATCACAGACCAGAATGTCAGATAAGTTGACTGCATATATGCTTTTCCAACATCAACAATCACCCTCTCAATCATCAGACCATGATAAGGCCTCCAGCAGTGCCCCCAGCCCCAATATGCTTCAATTCCCTGTCTTCATCTCCCCTATGCATCAATAAAACCTCGTTCTGAGATAACATGTTCCACCCTCAAACAATCCAAGCAACAACCACACCCCAACCAACCATGAAGCATCTCACTATAGACCCAAATAAGGCCTCCCAAGATAGACAAAACCACAGTAGTATAGCCTCAATACCATCCCCTGAGCAGCATCCACAACACGATATAAAAGATATCAAGTGAACGAGCAACAATGCCCTCCAACACAGCAGCACCAAGCCCTCAAACCCCTATCCCGCTGAACCACCAAACACCCAATTCAAAATGATCCTCTCATCAACCCTTCTCCCCATCTTCACCATCGTCCTCTCCCTCCCAAACACCCTCGCCCACCCAACTACCGACGACCTCTCCCTCCAACTCCACCCGCGCTCCAACCCAGGCGACACCAGATCCAACCCTATCAAAGCCGAGATTGAAATCCGCGGCGAAGATGCCCTCACCTACGACGTAGATTGCTGGGCAATGCTCTGCAAGGGCAAGTCCGCAGTGATGTATGCCTCTCCCTCACCCATTTCCCTTTCAACCCCTTTCCCCAGACAAACAACCAAACCAACAACAACAATCATCTAACAGTGAGAACAAAACACCAGGCAAAAAGTCGACACCGACGCCGCAGACGTAAACCGCCAAGTAGAAGCCGGCAGCGCCGCCAACAAGCAACCCTTCAAAGATCCCGCCAAGTACGGGATGAAAGCGTCTCCGGCTACAAATGCCTGGGGGGATCATAAAGGGTGGGTATCGGCGGAGGAGTTTCCGTTTGCGTCGACGAAGGAGGGGGGGAAGAAGTACGTTATACCCTATTGAATATCTAATCAATCTCCGTTGTTGTTGGGGATGTGCAACAAGCTAACGAAATGATATTACCATAATGCAGCGCCATCCTCGTAGGCGTGACCATCAACTCGCAGGACGAACAAAAGCGTTCTCTTCGGAGCTTCTACCAGAAGAATAAAGTCAAATCGTATGATGCTAAGAATAACAAGTCGGATGGGAGTTGGTTTGAGATTACGGGGTTTAAGGTGAAAAGTGGGAAGAATGCGAAGGTTGGGTATGTTTATCCCCTGTGTCTGATATTATTCTCTTTTACCCCTAGGGAATTTGCTTTTTCATGAGAGTGTCGTGATGCTAATGAACTGGACAGGCCATACTGCCAGGCTTTCACCGATAAGAAGCCCGGGAATGTGTGTAGTGCGAATACCAAGGTTATTGGGGACTGGGGGTTTGATGTGGCTGAGTATGCGTATGTTTATAACCATTCGACGAAGAAGTTTGATTACGTGGGTAAGTGAAGTGCCAGGTTAATGCTTCGCTTGATGGGAGGGGGGACTATGGTGACACTATGGCTATGAGATGAGTTGATATCAATGTTTTGGTTCATGTTCAGCTTGGGGAGCACATATATACTTAGTACTAGGTGTCTGCTTTGTGTATGACTATGTGTACTTGTTCAGTGACTTTCGGTTTAGACGAGATGTTATGATTGAGTTTCGGGGCGCTTCTTTGAATAAGATCTTACACATGATATATACACTTAAAGATTGAAGAAATCGAACTGATTTCCTGCGTTGGGTCTCGGTTACTTACAGCCCGTCCACTTTGAAATAGCTTTTTATGGTGTTCGAGAATGTGTCTACGTGCGGGTATTTGTATGACATCAAGAAATAACTCCACCGTACTCATCTAAGTATATTGCTCAAGGGTATATGCAACCGAAAGTATCACCAATGCAGAATGTAACCAAGCTATGCGTTCATGTCCAAATCAGTCATCGCTATCATCCAGAACAAACCGGCCCCGTTTCGGGGGCCTTTCCACACTCCTATCCAAAAGAGTAGAGACATCTGGAAGATCAAAATCATCATCTGTATCTCCATCTTGAGTCCTTTGCGAGCAATAGAACGGTTCCACTTCAGCGTTAGTCGCTGATACCGAGTGCTTGGCCGGTGGGGTTCGTTGTACTTCAGACACATCTCGCTCTTCATGATTCTTTGGCTTGGATGATACCACCTTGGACGAGCGTCTAGGTTTGGTCCGGGAATGAACCTCCCCATGACCATTGGACTTCGGCGCTACTATCGAGGCCTCCGGCCTGGAGGCCGCCTCACGTGCTATGATTTCCTTGTAACGATCCCCATAGTTTGGAGTAATCTGGTCCATCTTTTGCAACGTTTGAATTATGCGACGAGTCAATGACCCGTGTCTAACAGCTTTCGTAGGTCTAGGCGCAAGCTGAAGGCGTGGGAAGGCGTCGCTTCTGGGATAACTGACCAGAAGCTCTTCACTGGGCCCAGCGTTGCTGTAGAGGAGTTCAAGTTCTTTTTGCTGCGCGGGGGTAAGCAGAACATCTTCAAGCGCCGGCAATTCTACGGGCTCTGGAGTCGGCGTGCGAGCCTTACTTTTAGTTGGTGCTTTGCGCTTGGAGGTCCCGGCCAAGTTCGATGCCGTAGTAAATCCAGTCTCGACATTATCAGGCATATGGAACTTCTTTGGCGGCCTCTTCGGTGCCCGGCCTCGCCGTTTCGGCTCTGGAAGATCTCGCACAGTATTCTCCTCGGGGATTTCAATCGCTCGTTTATCAGCAACAGGCCGCACACCCGGAGGCAGGATCCGCGGAGACATATCATCGTGAAAAGTGAACCGGGTGCCACTCGCTATCATTTGCTGCATCTTTTCGTAATTGTCCTTAGCCTTTATGTAAGACTCCTCTTCCTTGCCTTGCATGAGTAAGAGCGTAATCTTTCCTGCCCTCTTTCGACCGGTACGTCCCATGCGCTGGAGCATACGAATAGGTGAAGCTGAAGAGTCGTAACACACGATAAGGTCCACTTCACCGATATCCAAACCTTCCTCACCGATTGAAGTTGCAACGATCGTGTTGTAGGTTCCCTTCTTGAACTTCTGCACAATGTCAAGTTGCGTTTTCTGCCCCATTCCTTCCGAGCCTTTCGCGCTACTCTGCCCAACAAAGACATGGGGCCGAATCATGGGCTCGTATCTTTTGAGTACTCTCGTGACTTCTTCTGCGCTATCACGGAAGTGTACGAATATCATCACGCGAGTGGCTGGTTGATCTTTGTTTTCATCTGCACCAGAGCCTTCACCAGCGTCCATAAAGTGGTTCAACACCACCTGTTTCAGATACTCTAACTTGGGGTGTCCAATGAACTCCGGATTCTTCGTCCACGGCTGCAGATGGTTCATGAGCTTTTTGTAGCTCTCGTCCTGAACGACTTGCCGCTGATACTTGCCGCCCTTTTGTCCCTCGGTGTTGGATTGGAAGTGCAAGAGATGACGATAGAAAGGTGTTATCCCATGGTATTTGAGAAGATCGATACCATGAGCCAAACTGGCTAGAACCGTGAAGATTGCATTCATTTTGGCCTTGACGCCGAAATGGGCGTTTCTGCCGGAATCGGATAGCATCCATTGTTGTCTGGCTTTGGTGAGTCCGTATGCTGTGAGACCCATGGGGTCACGCCCCCAATAGGCATTTGTGCTCCGTAATTGATCAAGAAGTGGCTGTAGAGCTTTCGACATCAGGTCCATGCAGAGGACCATTTCCTCTGAATTCTGGAATGTCTGCACATCCGTGTCTTTAGAGTGGACATACTCTCTGATATCGAGTGACTGCTCTGTCCGTATCTCGACTCTCGATATATCCAGTCCATCAATGACCGCCTGTACAGATTCCACTGTTGAGCCTGGCGTAGCTGTCAAAGCCAGGACACGGAAGCTCTGGTTGTACCGCCGCAGGAACTTGACAACTTCAACATATGCATAACCTCCAGTTGCACGATGGGCTTCATCGACCACGACCAGAACGATTCGCTTCGGGTCAGCAATGCCGGTTTTAAGGTCGTTGATCAAAGTTTGAGGCGTCATGAAAAATACCCGTTTCGCCTTCCATTCTTCGGCTCGAATACCCGGAGCAGCTTCTCCCGTGAGCATAGTGGTCTGGGATCTAGGGATCCCCGCGACTTCAAAGCATGCAGAAATCTGCTGAGCAACTAGCGGTTTTGTAGGCGCAACAAAGACAATCTGAGCGTCTTTGGTCCACCGAAACCAGTTGAGCATGATAGTAGCGGCAATGAACGTTTTTCCGAGACCCGTGGGTAAGGCTACAAGCAGATTATGAAAAAGGCCTTTTTGGGCAATATTGAACTGATAGTCTCGAGTTTTACCCAGATTCGTAGGATAAACCCACGTACCCAAGGCTTCCTGGTTGAGTTTATGCTGAGTAGGTGGCTCGCTCTTCTCAGGCGGAGAGTACACCTGTTCACCGCGCGGTGGCTGATTTTCTGGGTGTCTGGCAACCATACCAAATAGCGTGGTTTGGCGAACACCTAATGGGCGATTCGTTGACTGTGTGAATGACTGAGCCGCAGGGCGAGGCTGAGCCGCAGGAGGTGGTGACATTGACAGGTCTGAGTCAAAGGCATCATCAGGTATATCGTCCAAAAGATCATTGGAGGCCGCGACGGTAGTGTTTTGCTGTCCAACAATAGGAGGAGCCGATGGGCGCGCGGGCTTCTGCAAGGGCACGGAGGGAGCTGGTCTTGATGTTTCCTCCTCGAACGATTGCAACGATGCCTCAATCGCTGCTTTCATCTCTTCATCATCGTCATACTCATCATATCCATCGAAATCAGCAGCGGAATCTCTGGTTTGAGTTTTTACTGGCAGCGGGGTGGCAGCAGTTCGGGAAGGCAAGTCAGGATCAGGCTTCTTCCACCGGGGACCACGAAGCATTTCCGGCGGAGAGGGAGGTTGTGTTAGCTGCGTCACAAAAATGTTTTCCTGGATGTTTGCGTTTTTGGGAGCGAAGACTTTGTATTTGGACCGTGCTTCTCGTTCACTATCGTCTTGGAAGTAGGGTGACTCTCGTTCGGGAGAGGGCACTTCGTCGTCATCATAGTCGATGAACGAGTCTGAGCTTAGCGCTGTCCTAGCTCCATCACCACGTTCTGCACGAGACTTCTGATGCGATTGTAATTTCGCGTTTGGGGTATCTTTACCAGCTTTCAGACGACGGCGCTTGGCTGGTCGGGGAGTGTCAGGATCAGTCGAGTCTGCCGCATCCAAAGGCCGGTCGACGCCCAAGTCGCCCAGATCATCATCGAAATAGTCAGAGGAGTCACTATCAAGACTGAACATAGCGAACCCGAGGTGCATCGTAGGATTAAACCCCGTCGAAGATACCTGGACGCGACGCGTTGAGAGCAATCACATGTCCTTATCGATAAAGAAGCTTACATAAGTAGCGAGTAAGCGGTCTAGTCCGCCTTGATAAGGATACTAAACTAGTCCTGATCTAGATCTGGATACAATCAGTTCACACATTGGCTCAGAAAGGATTGGTACATTGATATGGAGACTATTGGGGGAAGTGAGTTCGATGTCACTTTTGTAATACTGGACATGCGGTGTCTGCGACATCATAAAAAGCCATACTGATGGACAACTTTACTCAATGACCCTTGATATCGCGCTGTCGTGACATAGCGTAAGTCGATCTCGAGCTGAAAGTTTGAAAGAAGAGTATAGCAAATATAAAAAGGAGATAACGCCTAGACTCCATCTTACTTGCTGAAAGGAACTCTAATCGGTTCCACATTCTTGCGGGCAATATGACAAAGGACTGCCGGCAATTAAAGCTTCATGGAAACAAAGGAGTGAATAGGAGTAGACATGCATCCCATAGAGCCAGCTACTAGAGAATAGAAAAAGTAACCTAGTATTCAGTCGGTCTTTACAATCTGCATCCTGCACTTACCTTGCCAGATAGGCACACTGCATATACAGCAAGCCGATTACCCAATTGCGGAACGCTTAAAGTGAAACCTCGCGAGTTTCAAACCGGCCGGGATTTTCTTGGCCTCGACATACTCTAGTTAGCACCAGGTGCTCTTTGTAGGATGCAGAAGACCGGGGGGTGATGTTCTTACGGGGACATTGGTAACAAGATGTTTACTAGAAGGCCTCTCAAGCAAGTGGCACTATATCGGCGAAGAAAGTCTCCAAATATCTATGTACACTCTCAGTTAGGCTGTCTTTCCCTCCAGTTGCTCTGCAAAACCATTTTAGCTAGCGATGCCCCATTCAACAACTATTGTGACTACGACCAACTATCTCTGAAGCCCTAGGCTTCTCCACTCTGTGTCCTCCCGCGGAAAATGAAATGTGCCGGGCTATTTGAGTTGCTTTGATGGTAAAACAGCGCCGACAAGATTTGTAAGAGCTATTGACTTTTTACTGCGAGCTCAAACATCGATTAAACTTTATTGAAGCCGAGTCCAGTAACAGATTATTGGTGTAATGTCTCCCGATAGCTCCAATTCACAATCCGTGTCAGGACTCAACACTAACTATGAGCCTGACTGATAGTTACTGGTGACTCTTATTGTCGTCATTTAACATAGAATTGCTAGTAAGATCCGAAGTACAGTGAGCCAACAAGATGGTAGATAAATTCATCCTCGAAATTCGTCTCAAAGTTCAGGCTTTTCAGAGGATGTCCATAATTTAGGTGTAACTGCGTATTTGCTTTTGTATAAAAGGGGCAGCACATGCTAAAGGAATAGCGTCAGTATAATAGTTGTTAGAATAAAAGCCATTAGTCGATCATCGAATAGGGATGACATTGATGAGAATCTCCAACTCGGACAAGGTTTCCAGACTGTCAATAATTGAGCCTCGAAACCATCCAAGAATGTTGAGGATGGCCACGTGATGGATAGGATGAAAGTCTTCCGGATCCTTTCCATCTCCAACTTTTGTTGCTGTACTGAGTAGTTATTATTGAGCGGATAAAGAATGATTCGCCAGGACAGGCATGTCGGATCTGCCCGAGGCACACTAGGCCTGAAAAAGCAATTCCAGTGTCGATGAATCTGACAGAATCCCTTGATAGTCCGGCCCCTATTCTTTTGACCGTGGTGCCTACAAGACTTGCCAAAAGTCTCCAACCACCCTCTTTACCCTGATATCTAGTGCATTCCAGTGTGTTCGCATGACACTTTCTGACAGATCAGCCCACCAATGACCGGGTGCTCTCCACCTCTTCCGATGCGCTGTCTCAAACCCCATCCACTGATAAGACCGAATGGTGGACAGTGACGGACTAATATGGAATTAGTGGGAGACAGTCTAGCTCTTACTAGCTTAGCAGCAACCGGTTTAGCGTTGGAGTAGCGCTATTAGTGCCTTGAAATGACCCTTGGATTCCCTCTTATGTCTAGGGTTATTTTTAGCCGATCCTTTGCAGTCCCCAGATTTTCAGGGTCTGTGATTGTTGACTGGCTGCTCACTCTTCACCACTTTGGCTCGTCCTTGACCACCAAATTGAAGGACTGGGTTCAAAACCTGGACTGTGCTTCGCGCTGTTCTCTCTCTCCACCATCTCTCGTAGGCACCTGCTTTAAACTAAAAATCATGCCAACTCCACGAATGGCGCCTCCACAAGTCCACATCCACCCTGTAAATGTCTCTTCCCGATGTTATTGAGTTGCCACCAAATGTAAGGGTGTGGACTACTAGCTCCGGCCCAGTGAATCCACTTATCCAGACGCTTCTTGAGGAATCCAGCGCACTAGCCTGTGCGACTCTGACGGCTTGCTGAAACCCCGCTAATCGCAACTGGCGAACCGACAGCTGGATGGCCCTAATTTGGTGCCAGGCGCGGTGAATCCCAGCATATCGCCTGATACGCTTGGGCAACTTTCCCCCGGTCGATTGTTTTCGCCTCGCCATCCTTGGCCCCGTTATTTACAGCCCGTCCTTTTTCCCTTTCATAACCTCGTCTGCCCTTTCCCCTCTTCCTTTTCTTTCTTCCTCTTCTTCCTTTCCTCCCTTACAGTCCTTCGTTTCGTGCTACTCTGTCGCGCTCGTTTCGCTACTTACTTCTACACTTCAGTCAATCTCAAACGTCTGTCGTTTCCTCGATCCATTCGTCAAGATGAAGTTCAACAGCGCTATCGCTCTCTCCTCCCTCCTGGCTCTCGCCGTCGCCCAGGACTCTTCCTCCACTACCAGTGCCGCGACGACCACTGCTAGCTTGTCTCCTCAGGCTTCCTGCGCTACCAAGTGTAAGTTTCTTTCTCCTCTCCAATTCTGTTATAACCGCATCTTTCCTGCATTATGGTCCCTTTCCTCAATCTTGGCCGCAAACCCCAACGGCCTGCATCCTCTACATATCTTGCACTTAGCACAACAATATATTTTTCATCAAAACAAATAGACTAACGATTCCAGGCTCCGCATCCGACATCTGCTGCATCGCCAGCTGCTACAGCGTTCCCTGCCCCGACAACGCCCAAGCCAACGACACCACCAGCTGCGTTGCCGCCTGTCCTCAGGGTTCCGGCTCCCCCAGCGACCAGAAATCCTACGCCAGTTGCCAGAGCAGCTGCTACAGCAGCTACTTCCTTCCCGCCACTGCCACGGGAGCGTCGGGCTCTTCCGCTACCACTGCCGGCTCCAACGACGCCAGCACCACCAAGAGCGGAAGCTCCTCTTCGTCGACCGGCTCTGGTACGTCCACCTTCAATATCCCCATACATCTCTACCTCTTGACTAACCATTTTCTTCAACAACAACAGGCTCCGACTCCAAGTCCGGCTCCGGAACTAGCACCGCGACTGGTGCTCACGCCAGCAGCACCGAGAACGCCGCTGCTATTACGCAGCTCAAGCTGGGCGTTTCCGCAGCCGGTGTTCTTGGCTTCGTCTTGGCTGCTTGGGCTCTGTAAATGAGCTGAGACGCTATGCCTTGATCGATGATTACAGTATGAGGGAAAGGGAGGAGAAAGCTATCTGTCTTTTGCACACTTAATCCAGCGCTTTGTGTTAATATGATTGATTGATTACGGGAAATTAAGGAAACTAGCTAATATGGGAACTTGTCACTACTACCACTATCTGTTTAGCTTATATCACTCGTGGATTAATAATTAACTTGATTGCTATCTGCATTGCTTTTGCTAAATGCTTTATAAATCAGTATTCCTACTAGTTAACTAACTAATTTCAGATTGATTTGTCACTCTTCCCTGCCATCATTCATACCAGGCAAATCTTACTACTAGTACTTATGACCTTCCCTCAATTCGAGAAACCTAATTAGATTTTACCCCAGTCCGCAATAAACCCCCATATAGCGGCTCTATAAATGCTGAGCCTAGTACACTGGCAATTCATTAGAATACTGACATACACGAATCACTTTCTGTATGTAGTAAACATACGCGGTATTAATTATCGTGATAGTACTTGATATTTATGTGGTGTGTCAAGTACTCAAACCCCGCATACCCACTGATATTCCTCACCCCTCGGTGGGTCTCGGGCTCGGGTTCGGTAGTGACTGTTGATGATCATCGTGCACTGCGGATCTATTATTTGTTTTGTTGTTGATGATTAACGATTGATATGGTGTATTATATTCTTGGTAGCTATTGAAGTGATAGGAATTGACTTTGGTAGGATGGCTATGAATCCAAATAGAAGACTAGTTCTTAAGTTACCAGTTAGTAGCAAATATTCTGATAACTCATTATAGTTCATGTAAACTGCGTTCATCATATCTATCACTCAAGCACATGTCTAATTCACCTATATATATTTATGTACTTTACGATTAACGCCCGCATGGTTTCATCTATCTGGCTCACAGAACAGCATTGGGTATGTAACATCAATTGTAACATCGAATGGCCACGGAAATTTGCATCGAAATACAGCGGTGCGGGCAGAATGAGAACGAATGAGCGCATATCCGGCATGTACGCAGTGAACACAAAGTTGGCGTCAGGGACAAAAGATAGCGAGTGCAGTCAAATAGTGTCGATGTGAGAAAGAGAACATTCCCAATGTCATTGACCTCTGACGTGCAGAACGACATGACGATATCTTCGCCTCTGTCTCTGCTTTGACTAGGAGGCGTCTTGATGCATGTTGAAAATCCTTTGGCATGAGACACTCGGACATATTGCGTCAAGCCATAAATCGTGCGAAGCAGTAATGCATGCCAGAAAGAGGTTCGTATGGAGTCACAACCAAAGCAAGAGCGGAAATGAGCGAGCCTAAATCCCAATCACACCAACGCCATACCAATGTAAGTCTAGAATGTGACATATTAGTTTAAATCTTATAGAGCCCCGCCAGCGGCATGGTAACTGTGGTTATCGCAATTAGACTCGGTCCCGAGCGAAGTCCAAGACCTCGCAGTCATCTTCAAAGAAACCGTCATCGACCCCGCCACCGAGGGCCATGGCTGAAGCCTGCTTCTTCTTTCTGCGTGTGGTAATGACCACTTCTTCCACATTGCCCGTACTATTTCCCAGGCTGATTAGATTCTCCATTTCAGCTCCAAAACCATGGTGTTGTTCATGTACCATATCATCGTCTTCTTCACTGGAGGCGCTGAATGGTCGTACATGAAGCTTCGTTGTGGCTAGAGAGCCGCCGAAGGTCCATTGACCCGTCGGGACTGAACCCACGGAGTCGTCTGCTTCACTGTATACAAAGAGGTTTACCCTCTGGTCAGTGTGGAAGGGTTGATATGGTGTGTTTGTCTCGATCTCCGCCTGCGAAAGAGGCTGGCATTTGAGCTTCGATGCTGGCGGCGGTCGTAGAGCTGCGGATGGCAGAGCCAACGTTGCAGAGACCGTTGTTTCTGTGGTAGCGGCGGGACCCACGGTCATGGGACCGCAAGGTGTCTGCATATGGGGAGGCAAGCGGAACTCAAGTTCTTTGTTTCCGATCACTGACTGCACCTGCCTGCTCTTACTGGGCGAGGTGGAGCGCTTAATTCTGTACAGACGGAAGTAACCCCCATCTATCAGGCCCAAGAATGGCATTCCTTTATGGATGATCCACGTCACACGAGCCGCAACGGGGTCCCGAGACAGATTGGAAAGGTGCAGGCGGTGTTCACCACCATGTCGGATGGTGTTGACCGTTTTGACAGTGCCGGTGGCGGCGGCCCCCATTGATTTACTAAGGCCAGCAGCAACCGCCTTGCCACCTCTCACACCAGCTGCAGAAGGCATCGCAAAACCACCCACGGAGGGAAAAGCAGCTCCGGTGGATGGAGTACGCCCCCTGACTGCAGCAAGAATGGGCTGTGTCTTACCGCCGACCATCTTGAAGGCCGCCGACAATGGATTTGCAGCCGGCCCCCGGTCGGGAAGCTCTTCTGCCGGAGCATCAGCAGTAGGCGGTTTCGCAGGCTTTGGTAGCGACCGTCGAAATGGAGGCCATTGGAAGGCGCTCCGAGGCAGATCAAAGACATGCACCGTCGGTTTACCCGTAATCACTGCGAGCTTGTCTCCAGAAGGCGGACACCAAACCACGTCAACTATATGGGATGTGGTCAATCGCGGGTACCGGGCAACCTGCCGCACGCTCGGCTGCACAGATGCTGGGTCGTCTGAGAGGAAAGCCCCGGCTCGACAGTATTTGGCCTGCATAACATCCCAAACATACTGGACGTCTCCCTTCTTACTCGCAGTAAATAGCATGAGGCCGTTGGGCGAAAATGAAAGGAAGCTGCAGCCATTCGGTACTTGAAAAGTGGCCACTGGATTGAACAAAGAGCTCTTGGCTTCGCCCTCATCTAGCTTTCGCAGATCGAAGATTGATACCAAATCAGGTTCGGTAGTGGACACAGACTGGGTGTCCTGGGCATGAGTGGGAGGAAAGAGGTTGTACCCCTGAGGTGAGAACTCTGTCAAATTAGGAGACCGGCGGGCTGGCATGCTTTGAGCCTGCTCCTTATTCCAGTAATTATTCCATGCTTGTAGTCCCTGATCACCCATCCAGCGTGCACCTCGCATGAGCTCCTGCGTAACACCCCGGGCTACTTTGCCGAAAAAGCTTTCGCCTTCTCCGACATCAGTAGCGCAGGTTATAGCTGGACGCGACGGAGGACTTCGAGTCTCAAGCCCGAAGGCCTTTCCTTGCAATAAGGACGTCGGCACGACCGCACGGAGAGTAGCCCTGTAGGTTGCGGATGGTGGGACAATAGCTAGCCACCTCCCCTTCAATGCCACAATAGGGCTGTCAGAGTTGAGGGATCCATGAGGAGAATCAGACTGAGATCCATCTGGGTCGGTGGAGCTAGAAGACGTGGAGTATCGCCGAGATTCTTTCGACTTGATACTGGTCCATGCTTTTCCTAAGAACTGATATTTGCTCATGCTGTACATGTAGACTTCCCCACTGGAACCTGACGCTACGACAACGTAGCTTCCGCTCACCAAGAGCTTCAGATTCCCGGCCGGTGAAGGAGCCAAGGCAGGAAGACCAGGTATATTGCCAAAGCATGGAGTGGGCGGCGTGGACAGAAGCGTGGTGATGTGTTCTCCCGTCCTCAAAGAATACACCTCGACGCGTGTCTGATAGTATCTGGTCTCTTCTTTCGGACGCCCTCCGGCGGCCGACTGTCTCCCAGTGGGAATGTCGTTTGCTTCCGAGCTATTTGAAGATGCATGACCCTCATCATCTGGTTGAGCAGTGGGGCCGTGAATGATGACAGCGACATGAGGTTGGTCATTAATTGAAGTGTTGCTCAGCAACTTTGCTTCGATTACGCGGCCATTGAGACCTGCCAACTTCCCTATAGGACGTGTTTTTCTATCTTCAATGGCAAGAACATCCAAGCCGCCATCCGTGCCGACCAGGAGAACGCTACTCCCCATTCTGGAGGCTTTGGATGAAGGGCTGATGATCGTATCGAACGCACAGAATGAATAACTGCCGTCCGTTGCGGCCCTGTTCTGGCCAGAGAACAGAGGCAAATCGATATCCGGCGCTCCATAGAAATGGGCCTGCGGCAGATGCGGCAGAGGTACCTGGTTATTGAATGGACTACTGACGGAGTTGCTCTTTTGTCGGTCCACTGAGTGCTGTCTAGACACACTGCTGGTAGCGTAACCCCGCCCATAACTCAAGGGCCTCGCTCCCGGAGGGGGAGACGTCGAAGAGGGGTGGCTAAATCCGCCTTTGTCTTGACTAGTGAGGAAACCGAAAGGAGATCCGCTGTTGAACTCGCCATCAACGGTATCATTCGGGGGACTTTTGCCATACGGGATGGACTTGGCCCATGTACCGGTGCGGTAAGCAATGTCATTCTCCGGCGAATCCCCCAGAGTGCCAAGGGCATCAAGCACCGGTGACACGATATTGCTGCTAGGTGGCGGCTCCAATGTTGGATTGGGGCAGGACGATGGTTCAGCCTGCAGAGGCGGTGACGGTGACGGTGCTTCTACTTCTAGACTGCATACGACGCGTCAAGCCAAGTCAGCCAACTGTCCACATAGAGCCAAGATACTTCTAGACACGTGGAAGGGATTCAGACTTACAGGTCGTCAGGTGTAGACTTCGGAACTGCTTTGGCTGCTTTATTCTTCCCCTTGGTTCCGGTTTTCCCCTTTTTCTTGGTCTTTCCACCGAGATCATGCTCCAAGGTGGCTCGGCTGGGATCTTCAGGAAAGGGGCTGGTGTCACCTAAGGACCGGCTCTGCTGGCGAAACAAATCGTCCGAAGCTGCCGGTGGCATTCAAAGGGATTGCCTCTCAGAGGCAATATGAGCTCAGATGGGACAGCCGCTCTCAGAACCCTTGGTGCGGGCTGAGAACGGAGGTTCTGACGGTGTGGTCGACCGGCAACGACACTCGCAAGGGTAGTATGGATTCACTGCCGGAGGAATCCCGTGGAGTTATGGTCTATCGTCGAGTAAGGGCTTTAT